AGACAGCAGCCCCCACTGCCAGACTGCTGCAGTGGGTAGAGGGTGCAGAGAACTCTCAGGGCTGCTTCAGCAGTCCAGCTAGCACAGGGGGTAGTATCCACAACTGACTGGGCCCCAGAAGCTCCTGAGAGCTAGTAGCCCTGAGCTACTTGCCAGGGTGGCTTTTTATACTGCTGGACCCAGGACAGGGCAGCTTTTCATACTGCTGGGGACAGCACAGGTGCTGGCCCCGGGCTCTAGCTCCCCCTGGCTGAAGATCCTGGAGGAGCCAGGCAGGGTTATTTTGCCCCAAGTGGCACAATTTGCTCCACAACAAAGTGCATGTCCAAGCACATGCGCTGAAGCAAAAAGCCCTGGCTCAAATTTGCCCTGATTCTATTTGAGCTCCTGCAAGCTCATGTGCTTGCATGTGTGGGCATGCCAATGAGGTTCAACAAGGACAAGTGCAAAGTCCTGCACTTAGGACAGAAGAATCCCATTCATTGCTACTGTCTTGGGACCAAGTGACTGAGCAGCAGCTCTGCGGAAAAGGACCTGGGGGTTACAGTGGACAATAAGCTGGATACATGTCAACAGTGTGCTCTTGTTGCCAAGAAGGCTAATGGCATACTGGGCTGCATTGGTAGGTGTGTAGCCAACAGGTTGAGGGAATTGATTACTCCTCTCTATTGGGCACTGGTGAGGCCACATCTGGAGTACTATATCCAGTTTTGGCCCTCTTCACTGTAGAAAGGATGTGGACATGTGGGAGAGAATCCAGCGGAGGGCAACAAAAATGGTTAGGGAGCTGGGGAACAGGACTTATGAGGAGAGGCTGAGGGAACTGGACTTATTTAATCTGCAGAAGAGAAGACTATGGGGGGATTTGATAGCAGCCTTGAACTACCTGAAGGGTGGTTCGAAAGAGGTTGGAGCTAGACTGTTGTCAGTGATGGCAGATGGCAGAACAGGGAGAAATGGTCTTAAGTTGCAGCAAGAGAAGTTTAGGTTGGACATTAGGAAAAACATTTTCACTCAGAAGGTGGTGAAGCACTGGAATAGGTTACCTAGAGAAGCAGTGGAATCTCCATCCTTGGATGGTTTTAAGACCAGGCTCGACAAAGCCCTGGCTGGAATGGTCTAGTTGAGCATGGTCCTGCTTTGAGTAGGGGATTAGACTAAATGATCTCCTGAGGTCCTTTTCAACCCTAATTTTTTATGAGTCTACCATTTTAAAAACTCCAGTTAGATACCCATTAATTTGGATTTGATTCTCTGCTTCTCTGCACAATTGCCTTATCCAACATATACATTTCTCTGGAAACCCTATTTTTCCTTGTACTTCAGACTTCAAAGGCTGAGCAATCTATGAACTCACCAGAGGGGACCAGCAGAAATTGGGGGAGGCTCTGTTCCCCCAGGCACCACCCAGGGTTACTAGGAATAACAGCCACAAATTGTTAAAGAGAAGGTTCAGGCTGGACATCAGGAGGCATTACTTTACAGTTAGGGCTGCTAGGCTCTGGAATGGGCTCCCAAGTGAGGTGGTACTCTCTCCTCCTTTGGGGGTCTTCAAAATGAGGCTGGACAGATATTAGGCTGAGTTGATAGGATCTCGGCACCCGTTCCTGCCCAGGGCAAGGGGTTGGACCTGATGATCTGTTTAGGTCCCTTCCGACCCCAAGTGCTATGATACTATAAACATGTAAGCATGATCCACTGTATCATATACTTTTTAAAAATCTAGGCTTGCTATAACTGTGTTTGTTTTCCTCTCTTGTATCAGTGATCACTCTGATTGCAGTATATCTCTGATCACTGTACCTGGTACTGATCTTCTGGAGATTTTTCCTCATCCTCCAAGGTGTCTTGGCCATTAACTTATAGCTCATATTTAGGAATGTAATTGGTCTCCAGTTTTTCAGGAGTTCCTTCTCCCCTTTCTTGAAGTATAAGATCACAGCACCTCTTGTAAAATCTTTCCCTGCCTGCCCTGTTTCCAATATTTCCTCAAAAACTTCCACTGTATCCCTCCCTACCCACACCCAACACTTCTTGCAAAATTCCATAGGCAGTCCATCTGTTTCTGGTGATTTTCCTCTTCTAAAAGTTTTAAGCACTCCTCCACTTCCTTTAAGCTTATCTTTTCTTCCATCTTCTTTGCTTCCTACTCTTCTACTTTCTGTTCAATCTCTTCCAGCAAAGCCTTCATTTCTTCCTGTTTCCTTTCTCTAATGTAGCTCTTCATAAAATCTTCTTGTTGGCTCTAACACCTCCTCCTGCTTTTCTAGCCAGGTACCACCTTCTTTATGCACCACTTTAATTCTTCTTTCACCATCTTCACTGTAGCCAAAAAGTATTGGGGCCACTCTTCATATTCTCCTAGCCAGGGTGCTTACACTAAAAATATTTTCTCTCTCATCTTTCTTTTAAAAAAGATTTATATCTCTTGCCCTGTTTCTTCTAGTTCTTCTTATATCTGTTTTCTTTGTGTAGCTTCCTTTAGCAGCTCCTGCATCTTTGTAGCTCTTTCAGCTCTTTTGTTCTTTTCCTCTTGTGTTCAGTCTCCCTCAGTGGTGCCTGTTTTTCAAGTCATAGTGAGCCACTACACTGGATAACTTTCAACTTCCTCTTCTCTCTCCAGCTGCTCTCTCTTTCTTTCCCATTTCTAATTATTCCTTTTTCTTCACCAGCCTTAAATATCTGGCAAACATCACCAAACAGGACCCAAAATATTCCACCCAGAATCCCTGTCACCCCCTCTCTCAGCCCCCACTCACATATGATTAGTGTGGCCTGGCCCTTTGTGATATCGAGCCAGACCAGGCTGCCCTGTACCTTATCATTTTTGGAGGACACCATAACTTGTGACAAGAACACCCAGTTCCAGTCATGAGGGAGGGCTAATTAGCAATGGATCCTTTGTTGGGGTATCTGGAGTACACCTTCATACTGAGTAGTGGTGAGCTGTGAGGCCACCATGGCTTAAAATGCTGTTTACTCTGCTGGAGCCCAGCCCACTGAACTGTATGGTACATCATGAGCCTCTTGGCTTTGGACTAACCTCATGTATAGTGGGTGTATTTACATGAGATGCTGACGGCACAGTAGCACATCACAGTATGCACAGTAGTAATAGTCTAGTGTGTAGTATTATTAAGCTACTGTGCAGTAGTGACACCTAAAAGACATTCACTGCTGCACAAGCATTGCTGCACTGCGAATCCAGTTACTGAGTACTGAGTACTTGCTAATACAAGCACAAAATAAATGCATAGTAATGACTGCACAGTACTGTCTCGTGTAGAAATGCACAGTTTGTACTATATGTAAATAGGTATAAAAGTGATGCTTAAAAGTGTTTATGGAGTACCTGTGCTTGCAGCAGTTTTAAACAAAAGGTAAAATGTATCAATGTTGTATAAACTAAGTCTATGGGTACCTGTAATTGTTTGTCTATGTAAAATACTATAAACATGGTTATTTCAAGGTCAGTGTTTTCAAATTTGCCCCTCACTGCTATGTGCTTAGCGAGAGCAGGGTCTGACAGTAGTGGGGAAGAGGGCTCGGGGGAAGAAGTTGGAGGGGGCAAGGAAGCTACCCACACCCTCCAGATTTATTTTCCTTGCTGTAACAGTGGGAGGGGGACAAATTCAAGGCAAACTTCCAATCATTAGATTCTATACCTAGAAAATTCTATCCAATGTATAAATATTCTATATATAAAATCTAATTACTGGGAGGAGGTTTATATTCAAGTAAATATGGTATTGAAACAAAGTCAGATGCTTTGCAAACTGGACTTTAATCCTTGCCTACTTATTATTTATGAGAGTTTCACCCAGCACAGTATACCACTTAAAATGACACATACGGCTCAGTTTCCTGGTTGGTGATAATCTCTGCCTTCTTTGGACAAAGATGAAAGTAGCTCAGAAGAGTCAATAAATTAATATCTTTGCTGATCTTTTCCAGCAGTTGTGCTTCTTCCCTCCCCACCTCCCCCCTCCCTCCCCCAAGAGAGGACCTCATAGAGTTTTAATCACAACAGAAGCTGATTACATCAAAACAGTATCAGCTTTTAATATTTTAAATGTGCTCTTTCATATAAAAACCCAGAGTTTACAATCTTTATCAGTACAATATTTGATTTTCTTTTTAAAACAGTGCTAATGTGTCTGCTTTAAAACATTTTGTGTTTTCACTGCAGTTTTAATTGTATGTGTGAAAAGTAAGTAAAATAGCACCTGCTGAAGTTGTGACTTTTGTCTCTAGAGACCTACTGCTGAGAAACAGTATGATTAGATCAAGGAATTCTGTTAATACTCTTCAGATGTTAAATGGATTCTTTAAATTACCAAGATGTTTGGGGAACAGAGCCAATCTAGGACAGGTAGCCATATGGAGCCTTAGCTGTAAATTTCAAGATGTATAAAAAATCCAGTAGCTCAGGGACTGCATATGACATTAATTTTTCTGCATTTAATATGCAGTCAAAAAAATCCAGGACTGATAAAATGCAATAACATTCAGTGGCCCTTTGTCATGATCCCCATATCATCAAAATGCTAGGTATGTGGCTTCTGGCAGGAAACTAATTTCCTCTGAGTAGGAATGCTATACACAAGGGCTGCCTGTTGCATCTATGACAATTATGGTTCTGATAAGCCAAGCCATGAAAAATGACCAGAAGTAGATTTTCTCCAGCTATTATCTGCATTTGAAATATTTCCCCTTGATTTCTTGTACACTATAACCCTGGAAGCCTCATGTGCCTCATTTCAGCCAGAAAAGTTTTGCTCATGGAAATTTGAGATTCATGGGCAGCTATTCTGCTCATCCCCTTCGTAGCATTTCTGAGTTCATATACAAGGTTCATGGGACATTGGCCTTGGCATCTGTTTTTCCATAAGTATAGCTGATATAAATCATAGTGGAGCCAAGATTTTTTATCTTGGTTATATTAATGGATTCTCCTCTCTCTCTCTCTCTCTCTCTCTCTCTCTCTCTCATTTTCTCAGAGAGCTGACATAGGGATTTCTGCTTTAACCATCACCCCTGATCGAGAGAATGTAGTGGATTTCACAACCCGTTACATGGACTACTCAGTGGGTGTGCTGCTTCGAAAGGCAGAGAAGACAGTTGACATGTTTGCTTGCTTGGCACCATTTGACCTCTCTCTGTGGGCCTGCATAGCTGGCACAGTGCTTCTGGTAGGGCTGCTTGTCTACCTTTTGAACTGGCTCAATCCTCCACGTTTGCAGATGGGTTCAATGACTTCTACAACACTATACAACTCCATGTGGTTCGTGTATGGATCCTTTGTGCAGCAAGGTAGGAAGCAAAATTCATCTTTAGTGCAGAGGGAGATGTGAATGAGGATTCCTGTTAACACAGATTTCCCAACATCCAGGCTGTGTTTGAAGTATTCACAAATTCTAAGCTTTTGGCATTCAGAAGCCTGTTGTAGCCACAGTGAAAAGCTTGGAATCACTAAGTAGTGACCTGTTTAACTTATTACTTGCCTAATTACATAAAAGGCAATGTATCTTCCTAAAATTTTCAGTACGCAGTATTTCTAAAACTTTACTAACAGATTACTCATACTGAATGTGAATACTATTGTTCTGGTGTAGAATTAAACATACCCAATGTGAATACTATTGTTCAGGTGCAGAATTAAACATAAAATATTTTAACCCAATACTGAATCTAAATTTAGACCCTTTGACAGTGCCCTAGGTTCTCAGTGATACTTTCTCTGACACACCCTCTGTCTGGCTCTGGCCCTGGCTCCTTTACATTCACCAAGGATTCCCTGCCATTGGCTGCCTTCCCAGTTGTCTCTAGCATTCAGCTTAACCCAATTTACTCCTTAATGCCCTGTATATACTCTCTTCCTTAAAAGCCTACCTCCTGTGGGAGAAATTTAGCCAAATCTCTCTGAAGTGTCAGACTGGTGACCCAGACCTAGTACATATGTCTTAAAGTTCTGACATAGAAATTAGGGTGTCAGCACTACTACAGAATTAGAAAACATATATAGGCCCATAAAGGAATAAAGATTTAGAAAAGCAGAAATACCTACGGAAATTGAACAAGTATCTCTTGGCATTTGTAAATATAGTTATCGTGGGTTAATACAGGGTAATGCATGGAGCATGGTTGTGCTGTGTAACAACCATGGTGCCTGCAGCCTAGAACACTTGAATAACTTAAGGACTTATCAGATGAATTAATATTTATAAAAGTTTCTTCTTGGCTAGGGACAGACATTCAAAAAGCTGGAGCCTCCGTTGATTCAGTCTTTGAAGGTTAGTCTAACATGCACAGTGTGAACTGATTTGCAAGTGAACAGACATTCACATTTAATTCTGGAATTAGCTCAGGCTAGAAGACATGGTGGGGAGGTGGGGGGTAGTGCTAGAGTAGCTCTCCCTTCCCTTTGCAGCAGTCACAAGGCTGGAGGGAAGCTGACCTGGGGGTTGTGGCCAGGCCCCCACAGGGACTAAGTATGATAGTGGAGGGGTTTAAACCCCCATCCTGACCTGTAGAGACCCCAGCTGGGGTGTGCCTAGAAGGAAAGGTGGGCAGCAGCCTGTGCCAGGCTTGTCCCTGATGCCAGACACTGGCCAGGGCAGTACCACAGGCAAAGGTGGGCAGGTGGTGGGGATTAAAGTCCTTTATCTCCAGGTGGGCACAGGATGTGGAGAGGGTCCAGAGGAGGGCCACTCATATGGTTGGGGACCTCCATGGCCAGCCCTATGAGAAGAGGCTGAGGGACCTGAATCTCTTCAGTCTCCACAAGATGAGACTGAGGGGGGATCTTCTGGCTGCCTACAACCTTATCAGGGGCCACCAGCAGGGACTCGGGGAAAGTCTGTTCACCAGGGCCCCCCTTGGAGTCACTAGGAACAATGGCCACAAGCTGAGGGAGGATAGGTTTAGGTTAGATATTAAGAAGAACTGCTTCACTGTAAGGGTGGCCAGAGCCTGCAACAGGCTCCCCAGAGAGGTTGTGCTCTCACCTTCCCTGGAAATCTTCAAGAGGTGACTGGATAGGCACCTGGCTGGGGTCTTATGACCCATCCCACCCCCAGTGCTCATTCCTGCCCATGGCAGGGGGTCGGACTCGATGATCTGTCTAGGTCCCTTCTGACTCATTGATTCTATGATTCTATGACCCCAGTCTAGGTCTGCTCAGCTTTCCTTCTGCTCTTGCTCGGGTGGCAGGAAGTCTGGGCAGAGCCGGCCGGCAAGGCCATGTTATCCACCCAGGGCTGGGGTTGAGGCTGCAGCTGGGCTGAGGGGCTGAGCCCAAACCAGCCTTCAGGTAGTTCTGAGGGAAGAGGCAGAAGACAGCCCAGGCTGGGGCCATGGAGACTGTGTGGCTAAATTGCTCCTGGCTCCCCATGCCCAAGCCAGGTGGGGCTATCATAGAACTCGAGATGGCTGGGAAGGGCCCTGCAGCACTGGCCCATGAGGGCAGGGTCCTTCCCAGCCTGGTGCAGCTACATGGAAGCCTGGCCTAGCTGCACAGGCAGGGGCTGGCTGGGGAGCAGGCTTCTCTGGCCAGCTTGGAGGTACTGGCAGGCCCCAAGCCTGGCAGCCACCACCGCACCCCCTGTCTTGTACAGCACCCAGGACTGCAGGCACACAACCAACTGCAGGCTGGCCGGGTCTGGGGGGGCTATTCTGCCCCTCTCACCTCCAGCTGCTGCAGCCATGCCATACCACTCTGGGTGGGGTGGGGTGTAAGTGGGAAGCTTCAGCCCAGCAGCTTCTGTCAAGTGCATGGAGCTCCAGCTTCAGTTCCCAGCTGCCTTGGAAGGTGTCTGGGTAGAAAGCATCCAGGCGCTGCAGCCAGAGGTCCATGCATGGGGCAGAAACCACCAGGCCCAGCAGGGCTGTTTTTCTCCCGTCACCTCCAGCTGCAGCTCTGCTCCTGCCACACCACACAGCGCTGCTCAGGGCAGAGGGAGCTGCCTTCAGCTCAATGTCTTTAAGCCAGCTTTGAGGAAGCCAGGCTGGGCTGTCACGCAGCTGTAGTGGGCTGGGAAGGGCCCTACCCCCATCGGCCAGCCCCGTGGGGCCCTTCCCAGCCAGCTGGGGCTCCATGACAGTTCCTTCCTTCTTGGATGTGGGGAGCCACACAGCCCCCATGGCCCCAGCCCAAGCTGCAGCTGCTGGAAAGGGCCTGGCACTGGCAGCCCAGTCTGGGCTGGCCCCTCTGCCTGTGCCCTCAGCAGCACTTGCAGGCCAGCTCAGCTCAGTACCACAGCCCCAGCCAATGGCAAGGCAGGCATATGGCAGGGGCCATGCCAGCCAGCTTTAGCCATACTCCCTCCCCTGCCAGTCAAATGGAAAGGGGAGGAATGGCTGAAAGGGGTCACAGTCCCCCGGTAAGGGAGTGGAGAGAATAAACCCCCTCCCCGTCCCCTTTGCCTCAGGGGGGCATGCATCTGGCCATGCCTCTGCCCCTGCTTGGGTTAGAGAGCAGAGGGGAGGTGCCAGCCCAGCTCTCTGGAGCAGACAGCACAGCCCAGCCCAGGGCTGGGATGCTAGAGGGCTCTGATTTAATTTAAACCAGCAAGGGGTCTGGAACAGAAGTTGCATAAACCAGTTTGACCCAAATCAGTTAAGTTTGATACTACATTCAACCAGGTTTATCTTAAACCAGTTTTGGCCATTTTGAAACTGGTTTATGTACACTGAATTATGTTCTGTTACAGGTTTAAACTAGTTTCTGATCACTTAAACTGGTTTATGTGTAACTTGTGTTCCTAGCCTGTTAGACTGAGTTAGTATTAACTTCCACAATTTAGAAATTACATAGTTCTCCCTGTCCATGATCATTCAGATGGGAATGCAGAGGAAACAAATTTAATCTTCCAATATAAGAAATTGGGGACAAAATTCCTAAGTAGCAACAAGAGCACGAAGTTAGCAACAACCTCCAAAAAAAGGACAATCAAGCCTGAGAAACTTTCTTTAGTGGAAACTGTTTTAAAAAATTACCAATATAGTAGTGTTATTCTAAAATCATAATGTCAATGAGCAATGATACCACATGACGGAAGATGAAGGAGCCTTTTCCATGTGAAATTAAAAGATCTTTTTTTTGTAAAAAGGCTTTAGAGACAATTGAGAAGTATGAGAGTGCTGAAATATATGTGGTTTGTTTACAAAGCCTACTTTTGATCCAAAATTCTCCCTACGGAACAGCTCAGGGAATCCAGCTGTGCAAAGACAGTATGGTTCACTACAGAATTAGACTCATTGCATCTGTCTGTCTGTTGTATTAAAGTGTGTGAGTTAGGTTATCAAATGCATGAAAAGGAGCTAATTTTACATTGATTCACTGCATGCAGGGTCGTCGCTGGGTGTGGGGGGCATATCAGGTCAGCTGCCTTGGGCCCTGCACTTTGTGGGGCACCGTGGAGTCGGGCAGAGCAGCGCAGCAACTCCACGCTGCCACCAGCTGCATGTCCAGCTGCTTGGCACTGCCCCCCAGTCTGCTGCTGAATCCAGCATCTCCAGCCACTCGGCACCTCCCCCCCGCCCCTCCCCCGAATCTGCTGCCAGCTTCCTCGCATCCAGGGGTGGGGCCCCGCACAGGCTGATTTGCCTTGGGCCCCATACCCTGCTTGGGTTGCCTATGGCTGCATGTTATTGACTCTACCATTTTAGCTCTTTCTCCAAAATCCTTAATTCCTGTAATCTCTGAAAACCTTTAGGAGACCACAAGGCAATCATTTAAAAGAAGCAAAGTTAATTTAATCATTCACTTCAGTCTCCTGAATTATTTTCTTAGCTGTTTACCTGTAGATTCCCCAAATAGACCTCTGTTCCGTAGCTGCTTGCTTTGTTTTAGAGTTGTAGGTCAAAAGTCAAATGACAGTTTCCACTGCAAGCCATGACCCTGTTCCATAAGCCGATGAATAAATGGTTCAAGCCATTCTCATGAGTGGTATAAAATCAGTATAAGAAGACAATAGGAGAAGAGAGTGAGAGCTGAAGAAGAGCACAGAGAACCACAAATGAATTAAATAACAATACAGTAGACAGAGGGGCAGATTGTTGAAAAGACTGAGGAAAGGTTCTTGCCTCAAGAAGATACACAAGCATCATTTTTGCTGATAGTTATATGGGCATGAAAGCCTGAGAAGATATGCTGTTCCTTGAAGCATAAGAAGTGCTATGGAAAGCAAGTCAAAAGGATGCTGATAAGCTTTCAAACTGAGGGAGGCTGATTAGGTTAAATATACACCATTATTTAGGGTCAGCTTTGACATCTCCTTCAATCAACCCAAGTCATGTGAACTGTTGTTCTC